AAATTAGAAAATTCATAGTTTAAATAGAGGCGGGTTTTCTGGGCGCCGGCTTCCCAAACGGCGCCGAACGTTAGCCCAATTCCCTTACCCAGAATCGCATTGTGCGCCTGACCAAGTCTTTTTAAAATAATTTTGGCCTTAAACAAAATTGTGTTTAAAATGAAGTCATTTTTATAAAAACGGTCCCCATTGCCTAAACACAATGGGGTGGCGGACTCAAAATGTTTTATAAGAACCGAATTTATCGGCACCGGCATAAAAAAATAAACACATTTCATCAAAATCACCGAAAAAGGATGTTTTCGGGTTCCTTCGGGGGAGCATTTTTTCGATGAAAACAGAGTTTGGCGATTTCCTGGGAATACAACACTTAGTCCTGTTGCATTATTAATTTAATAGTTGGCTGTGATGCAGGAATTAACTCTAAAACTTATGTTATTCTAAAATTGGAATAAAATTGAGTATAGAAAGCCCTCGGAAAATTTTTAATTCGTCCTTGTTTGTTTTATTCGCTTTCCTTTATTTCTATTTATGGCCTAGTTCTTGCATTCATACCGCATTTCTCTCTTCTTCACACTTTCTTACCCATAATCACCCTTCGGTACTGGTGTTAAACTTTGACAGTTGGATCCAAACCTAAACCTCGCGTTTTAGGTTACATCCATAACCGTAGAGAATTAACAATTACTACCAACCCGAAGCCTAGTACTTAAAGGTGCGATCAAAGGAAGTTAGGCCCAAAAGCCCGAATCTGTTTGCGAAACCCAGGACTTTGTTAAGCCTAATAAAAGAACTGAAGGCCAATAGCATTAGTTGAAAAACCTTAGTTCACTTCCCCTAAGGTGTACCCGATTCTATTTGGCTGTTGTTATGCCGCATTTTTCAAATTTCCGAAGAGTTTGTATTCTCAATCTCCCAAAAAACCCCCCTGTTGGTTGTCGAGATTAGGACCAAACTCCTAGGAAACACGGATGTCGGAATTTTACACCAACGGAATTTCTGTTTGTGGGAGAAATAAAGGTTGGAAGGCATGACATTTCCCAACTCTGTTTCCCTCATATTGTTATAAAACTGTAACATTATGATGTGACATCATGCACCATGTAACATTTTTTTCTTTTTCAGCCATAACATTAAATAAGGGCTATTCCAGTATGGACATTTATCTGATCTTTGAGAAGTGGAACCATCTAATTCGTTTTGAATAACATAATGCAATCGTTTATAGTGAATTGATACCAAAAAAAAAAAAGAGAGCTATAAAGGGGGAGTTGAGATTTCTTTGAATTTTCCACATTTCCTGCATTATTTGAAATAATCACAAGAAAAAAAAAGCCATGCGTAAGATTGCAAAAAAAAAAATTGTAATTAATCAAAATTAAGATCCCTGCTTGGGACCATTTTGTTTTCCAAGGCCAAAAGTAGGTACACAAAAAAATACACAAAAAAATAAATAAGGAATATTCTCGCTTGGAAATTCTTTTCATTCCAAGGCAAAAATTAGGGACTTGAGAGAAAATAGGTCGACCGTAAAATCAAAAGGGGAACGAGTGAACGACAGATAATGCCAAGAAATGTTTTAAATAACAAAAATTAAGTTATTCCATATTATTCATACCAAATTTTTGTCCAGTCGTTGAGGATCGAGATCTTACTTCCATATTGGGTCTTAGCCACATTAGAAATGAATTTCTCATCCTATGTGCTTATTAATTTTTCCAATGCATACATATAAATCTCCCTTTTAACTCAGGTTCATTTTTCAGTCAGAATTGATCCACCCAATTCGGGAAAAACACTTCTCGAGAGTTTGGCGCTTGACGGTCCTGGTAACGTTTGTCACGGTTGTCCCCAATCCCCGCCAGCCTGTAGTCCTGTGGTTCGATTCAGTTCACGGAACTTCAGATCCCTGATTGCAGATCCAGTAGAAATGGCAGATGACTATAGGGATGAGCCCGGGTTCTCTTCAAGCCCAAATAAGAAACAATTTGCTCAGATGTAAAGCTGACTGCCTGTCACTGCGCCCCAGATAGAGCCAAAACCAAACTACTTCCCGCCTTCAAGCAGCCAACCTGTGGTTTGAAGAGAGGCAAATTTCCAGAAGAACCTGAGTCAGATTAATTCAGACTCCTGTGAGGAAAACACTCACCCCTATCGAGAAGATGTGCTCAAAGAACAATATGCTGAGCTGACTCAGATTGATTGTAGCCGCTGCTCTCGCCCAAGATAGGGCCCAAAATCAAACTCCTCCCGCTTCAAGCAGTCAACCAGCGGTTGAAGAAAGACAAATTCCAGAACATGTGTCAGACAATCAGGCTACTGTGGGAAACACTGCCCCTATTGAGAATGATGTGCTCAAGCAACTTGCCGAGCTGAAAGACAGATTTGAGAAAATAGCTGCGGTAAAGGAAAAGGAGCCGGTCACCAACTTTCATATAACCGAGTATGTTTTGCACCTAACCAGCTCCACTTCATTTAAAACATTCAAGCATACAACATTCGAAGGAGACAACGATCCCTGTTCTCATATGTCTGAATTCCTCTGGGTCTCTCAGATGAACCGATACAATGAGGATGATGTTTTACTAGTTTTTTCGTTCCGGAGGCTTCTCCGGCCGGACTGTTTGCAGTCCGGGAAAACTGGCCTTTTGAGCCTCAAAATTTGAGTATTCACAGTACGATGGTCTAGATGAGGAGATTCAGAAGAATTGGATCAAACTACAGACTGCTTTTCTTAAGCATTTCAAGATTGACGAGGGTGATGAATTTGGTTTGCGTGACTTAGAGAGCCTAAGACAAGGGAAAGATGAAAGCTTTTCTGATTATTATAGGAGGTGGAGAACCAAGCTATATAGGGTCCAAACAAGGCTGAAGGACCAAGAGCTAATCAGAATCTTCAGTAGGAGCTTGTTACCATTCTTTAAAGATAGAATGTTGACCCAACCCTTCGATGATTTTGCTCGAGTTCAGAGGGCAGGATTGAACATAGAAGAATTATATAAGGAAGAAAAGAAGAAGAACAGAGGGTTTGGCAACTATCAAACCTCCTATTATGACAGAAATGTCAGAAGCAGCAACCAGAATCAGTCAGGGGGCAGCAACACGGTGGGGGCCGTTAGTGAGAGGACGAGAAGAGAATTCACTGATCTGGGAAGACCATTGAGTACGGTCTTGAGGTCATGTATCAAGAATGGGGTACTTTCAAAGTTGCCAGTCAATCCAGCTAAACCGGTGCTTGGTAAATTTATTGACAGGATTTGTGATTATCATCAGTGCAAGGGGCACTCTACAGATGAGTGTTTTCAGTTGAGGCATGATATCCAAAACCTGATCAATAGTGGGAAGATAACCAAGCCTCCAGAAAGAAACAAGCCAAGTACCAAGAGCAACCGACTTCCTCAGTATCAGTACAACTATCCGCCCCACAAATCTCAGTCAGGTGGACCAGTCAATGCTATCGAAAGCGGCTTACCGGAAGAGCTTGTGTTAGCAGAGGCTGAGTGGGAAGACCGGATGTGTGCAATGCTTAATATTTGGGATGACTGCAATAGCAGCGATGAGGAAGACGGAAAGATGCCCTTGAAAGTAGAAGTTGAGAAGAGTATTACGGTGAAAATAGGTAATGTGCCAAAAAATGAAGACGAACAAATCCAGCTCGCAATCCAAAAGAGTTTAGCTGATCAAGAGGAACAGTGGAATTACAGCAGCGAAGAGGACGTGAATGAGGTAGGCGTCCAGAGCTTAACCCGCAGTGGGCGAGTATACAATCCCAATAGCAGTGTGCAGGCTAAGGGAAAAGAGATTGCTACTGATGGAATGAACAAGAAAACAACAGAGAAAGGCAAAGTAGAGCCAAAAGAAAAAAAGAAAGAAGAAGAGATAGTGAAATTACAGAAGAAGACTGTCGAGATAGGTGAAAACAGTCAGAATCGAGCACCGAGCGGTGTAAATGCCAGTTCAGTACTGAGCCAATTGCAGAGAACAAGAGCAGATATTTCATTATGGGATTTGCTGATAGCATCCAAAGAGCATAGAGAATCTTTACTAGAAGCCATAGAGCAATAGAGAATCTTTACAGAAGCCATGGACTTTTTATCAGGTGCCTGCTCGGATTCAGAGTGTTGACATGATCAACGTGCTAACAGCGATAGAATTGGTGAAATCATCCTTTTTTGACTTCGACAAACCTCCACCAGAAGGAAGAAACCACTTTAAGCCATTATACATCCAGATGCGGTTAATAGGGTGAACACTCAGAATGTGAAATGGAGGATAACGGCATCAGGCCTGGTGATTGGTAAGGTGGTGTCCGTTTGAAGTTGCTAGTCCAAAAATTCAAAATAGATGGAGTGAAGCGTTGACCGAAAAAAATGAGGAGTATCAAAGCTTTATACAAACCAACTATTGCGGGAAATGCAAAGGCACTTTTAAAAGCAAAAGACTCTCCACGGGGGTTGTAGTAAAGCTGGTGTTGATTGTGGTCCATCCTCTAGGTGCAGTTCCGTCTACCCTACACAGAAAAGTGAAAATTCCATGGGGTGCGGATGTGGTGACAGTTAATGCACAAGAGGACTTGAATGTGGCAATAGTGGAAGGCTTAGAGTTGGCGGTGCCGTTATCAGGTTTTCAGGTGGCAGTGATTGATGCGCCTGCCGCTGAGGGCAAGAGTGTAGTAAATAGAATGAGTCCTTTTTCAAGGAAGATGATGAAAAAGATGCAGCGGCAGTATGGCAAAGGATTAGGCCGAAAACTACAAGGAAGGTTTGAGCCTCTCTCGTCGGCATATGGTCAACAAGATAGATGTGGACTGGGATATTCGGGACTGGGATATTCGGAGAATAGGAAGAAGGAAAGATATGAGAAATCCGGTCTCCAGGTTTTTAGAGGACGAGATCCGGTCTCCAGTTAGAGGACCAAATTTGAATCATATTTTCTTTGTCCCACAAGCTACAGGAGAATTCCAAAGTAGGGGAAAGACTTACCCCGGCTTAGAGATATTCATGACAGACTTTGAAGAGAAACTGATCAAATCTCCTGAACCTTCCTTGGAACAGTTGGTCGACAGAACTAAGTTTATGGTAGGAATGACACAAACAAGCACAGAATCTGAGTGGTCAAAGAAGATATCTGAGTTTGAAGACTTTTTTGGGATTGGGGATGAAGCTTCCAAGGTGGTGCAAGAGCAGAAGCCTCCAGTCAGTACTAGCTGCTGAAGACACCGGAGAAGCAGAGAGGGAGGTATTGAAGATGAAGGTTGAAGAGGCCACAGCAGATGCTATCCCAGAAGCGAAAGAAGTACCGGAAGCGAAAGAAGTACCAGAAGCAATCCAAGCAATAAAAGATACCTGTAATGAATGTATTGGGCAGGCTGTTAACCCTGTCTTGTGTTTTTCTGATGTCTGTTTTGAGAACAATATGGATGGCTTTCCTCTTTTATTTCAATCAATGGAACTGAATTTTGATTATTTGTTCTCTTGTTTTCCTAACTGTCACGTTCATGGCATTGATTATACCACGCACATATTTGATATAAATGCATTACATAATTTTGCATTTAACTTAAGCACCACAGACGATCCTAAAACAATCGAAATCGGATCAGACTTCAAACCTGAACTTAGACAGGATCTTCAAGAATGCATCAAAAGAAATTCAGAGGTATTTGCCTGCTGGAGCTACGCTGACATTGCCAGGAAATCGCGATTCAATAGCAGGAAGCAAGCAGAGCACTTCATTCCTACTGATCCAAACGTTAAACCGGTTAAACAGAAAAGGAGAAGGGTCAGACCAGAATGGCAGGATAAGATCAAAGTTGAAGTCCAGAAGCAATTAGATGCAGGATTCCTAGAAGTAGTTCACTATCCGGAATGGTTGGCTAATATAGTCCCGGTGCTAAAGAAGGATGGGAGGATAAGGGTCTGTATCGACTATAGGAACCTGAACAAAGCCTCGCCTAAGGATGACTTTCCACTTCCGCACATAGATGTTTTGATCGACAGTACTGCCGGAATGGGATGTTATTCTATCATGCGGATTCTCCGGGATACAACCCAAATATTGATGGCTTTAGTAGACAAGGCCACCAAAAAAAAGACTTGCATTCACCACGGATTCGGGGACCTTTTGCTATAGAGTAATGCCATTTGGACTGAATAAACGCTGGGCAAACAATCCGGGGCAACATATCAGAGGATGGCTACTACGTTATTTCATGATATGATCCATAAAGGATTGGAAGTGTATGTAGACGATATGGTGATCATGACGAAGACGCAGGAAGAACACGCAGAGATGCTGGAAAAATTCTTTGCACGGGTCAAGCAATATAACCTAAGACTCAATCCCAAGAAGTGTGTATTTGGAGTGACGAAAGGGAAATTGTTAGGCTTTGTGGTAGGACCTAACGGGATTGAGGTTGACCCAGACAAAATAAAGGCCATTCAAGATATGGAACCACCGAGAACAGAACGCCAGGTGAGAAGCTTCTTGGTCTGGGAAGCTTCTTGGGTAAAATTCAATATATCAGCAGGTTTATTTCAAGACTATCCATTACGTGTGCTCCAATCTTCAAGCTACTGAAGAAAGATCAACCGATTAAATGGAATAGGGACTGCCAGAAAGCCTTTGACCATATAAAGAAGTATTTGATGAATCCACCAATACTGAGTTCACCTAGACCGGGAGAACCTCTGATCTTGTATTTGTCTATAGAGGATACAGGAATAGGGGCAATGTTGGTTCAGCCGGACGCTACTGGGATAGAAAAGGCCATTTACTACATCAGCAAGAAACTGTTGCCTATCGAGGAGAAATACAATATGATAGAGAAGACGTGTATGGCGGTAGTATGGTCAATAAAGAAGTTGAGGTCGTATTTTGATTCCTTTAGGGTCACTTTTGTCTCCAAAATTGATCCAATGAAATATCTGCAAAGAACGCCTACTCTAGAAGGACGGCTGTCTAAATGGTTAATCCAGATGTCTAGCGTGGATGCAGAGTTAGTAACGAAGAAAACGGTCAAAGGTCGGGTCGTGGCAGAATTCCTAGCTGAAAACCCAATTGCAGATGACGAACCATGGGAATTGGAATTTCCAGATGAACACTAGCTGTGTATCGAAACATGGGCTTGGAAGCTGTACTTTGATGGACCGGCCAATAAAAATGGAGCCGGAGCTGGTATTGTAATAGAAGCACCTAATGGTGAGGTTACCACAATGTGTAAAAGACTGTTGTTCCCAGTCACTAACAATATGGCCCGAATATGAAGCCTTTGTATGGCTGAGTATGAAGCGTGCATCATGGGAATAGAAGCTCTCCTTGCATCAAGTGCTAAGGAAGTCGAGGTAATAGGAGATTCGTTATTGGTTATTGAACACGCCAACGAGAGGTGGAAAGTAGAAGAAGAGAGATTGAAGCCCTATGTTGAGTACTTATTGAAGAAGGCAGCGCTTTTCGATAAGATCACCTTCACTCATATAGGAAGAACCTATAATAAAATTCCAGATGCCTTTGGCAAATTTAGCATCGGCTTGGCAGGATTTGAGTAAAGTTTCGAAGAAGTCATTTATCATTACCGCAGCTAATATCCCGTGCTATCAAGAACATTTTGTAAACCAAGTGGAGTCGGAGGAAGAACCCTGGTTTACGGATATACTGTAGTATATGAAAGACGGTACCTTTTCTGATGATGCAACGAAAGAAGACCGTACAGTTCTCAGAAAATGGCTCTGAATTATATTACGTCCTGGCTGATGGTGAACTTTACAGGAGAGCTTGGGACGGAATGTTGCTGAGATGCGTGAGCAAAAAGGAAGGAAAAGACATAATGAGAAAAGTTCACGAAGGAGTCTGCGGTACTCATTTAAGTGGTATGAGTCTAGCTAAAAAGATCATGAGGCAGGGTTATTTTTGGATGCAGATGGAAAGCGACTGTGTTCAGTATGCGCGTTGTTGCAAGGCTTGCCAATATCATGATAATAAAAGCCACTTACCTGCTGTTGAGCTCCATCCGACACTTCCTTCATGGCCTTTTTCTGCATGGGATTGGGGCATAGACGTCTTGGCAGAATCTCGCTATGCAGCATCGAACGGCCATCCAGTATATATTTGCGCAGTTGACTACTTCTCTAGATGATTGAGGCTCAATCCTTATAAAAATTTCTTAACCGCCAACACGTTGGCGAGAGAGAAGATCATTGAACTGACATTTTTCTGATCGTTATTATAGTGTTCCCATTCACATAGTTACAGATAAAATGGGCTCTCATTTTCAAGCAGAATTGGTCAGTTGCTTCATAGATATAAGGTTGGAGCATCACCAGATATAAGGTTGAGCATCACCATTCTTCTCCTTATCGCCCTCAGGCTAATGGTGTAGTAGAAGCTGCGAATAAGGAGATTAAAAGAATCCTATCGAAATGTGTGAAAGGTACAGAAGCTGGGCTGAGAAACTCCCTTTCGCGCTTTGGGGGCATCGCACTTTCAAGTCAGTCAATGGAGCTTCTCCCTTTGAACTTGTATATGGGATGGAGGCAGTGTTACCAATAGAGCTCGAAAAGAAGTCTCTCAGGGTTCTTGTAGAAGCTGGCCTGACCGAAGAAGAGTGGGTTAAGAAAAGATATGAAGACTTGGCACTTTTAGATGGAAAGAGATTGAATGCTCGATTTCAGGACCAGATGAGAAAAAGAAGGATTGATCGTTTCTACAATAAACGGGTACATCCAAGAGCTTTAAAGAATGGAGATTTGGTATTAATCAGATTGTTGGATCATGAAGCCCAGAATCATCCATCCTGGCGGGGAAATTCAAACCCAATTGGCACGGGACCATTTAAGTTCAGAAGTTACTAGCTAAAAGGTGCCGCTGAATAATCACCTGGAAGGGGAAGCCTGTCAATCGGATTGTCAATCAGGATCAAATGAAGAAATTCTATGTCTGAAAATGTGATTCGCGTTTTTTTTTTAAAAAAAAAAAAAAAAAAAAAAAAAAAAAGAGCTAAGGTCGAAAACCGAAAGGGCCGGCTTAGGGCCAAAAAAGGAGCTCGCTAGGTTGGAAAACCCGAAAGGCGACCTTAGGAAAAAATTTAGAGCATAATAAAAATTAATAATAAAAATAAAACTTTTGGGATTAACACGTGGTGCTTAGTTTAATGTGATCTATTGCCATGCGTTCGTGACAGATTGTGATTGGGTTGCTCAATTGTCATCAACTCGACTTGAAGAGAATTAAGTTAATATGAATAGTTTAGGATGAATGACCATTGTATAAATAAAAGTTCTTACTTCTGTATAATGTTTTTGAAAAGAAGTAAGATTAATAAAAGATCGAATTTTTAAAATTTTCTTCCTTTTTGTTTTCGGGGACATGGTTAAAGAAATGTTTACAAGACCTTCCTCTCTGCTTATCTGATCAAGATGCGACTAGTTCAAAAACATCTAGTTCAAAAACATTCTGGCTGTTGGTCCTACCTAAGTATTGAATTGTTTTAAAACATTGATCAGGAGAACGAACACCATCTTCTCAGTGATTTCCTTGAAAGGATCAATAAAATCATGATAAAACCTTAGTACTCTTATAAGTTCATGCATACATAAAGAAGTTGCATATATTGTTTTTGTTTGATCTATGCAGGTAATAAAACAGTTACCCCATTCTTTTTGTCTCCTAGTGTAAGCTTCTGCCTTCAAATAATAATTCATTTTTATGAGCATTCATTTATTGACCCAAAGGCAGGAGGCCCAAATAACTAACACAACAAATAAAATAATTTCGAAGAAAGATTTGTTGTCTTTTTGGATTGTCCATAATGTGCAGAAAGCAGGGAAGTAAAAGGCATAAGGAATTAATAAAGGCATAACCATTGGATTCCTTAATTCAAAGAAGGGAGACACATTAACTGGGAGCCTATGGCCCGGGAATAAAAAAAAAAGGGGGAAAAGAAGACAGAGAAAGCAACAACAACATTTATTTCAGCAGGGGCCATCATTGGACGCCAATCTTTGCAGAACCTAGTATCATTATGGGGTGTAAAACCAGTTGGCATATGCGGGTGTCATGGTGTCCTGCGCCGTTCCTTCATTTAAATACACGGTGTTTCGATTTTGCCAACGGTCAGCCAAATTGGTCAACAAATACGGTGTTATCAGACCACTCTCAAAGTTTATGGGTTCTGGGCACCACACTTGTATCACCCATATTGACGGCTGATTCCTGTCGGGAAAATAGGCCATGGAACGGTCTTAGACTGGCATCAACACATTAATTGAGGTTCATACTTCCGGTCGTGACAGTCTAAATCCTCCTACCAAGGACAAAGTCCATCGAATTGTTAGGGTTATCTCCAAAAATCGAAGCGTCTCCGAGACCGAGATTGAAAGATGGCAGGTCCGTAGGTTTTGGAATTAAGCGAGCTGGGACGGGAGGAATCAGGCTTAATTTGGTCCAGAAGCCCAGGGCTTGCAATAGCAATGGACAACGCGATGATGAACATTGAAATCGGAGACATGAAGGGGCAATATCCCTGACCCAACACATTGTCTCTCCCATGATCATCTGAAGACAGTATGATTGGTACAAATGCATTGTCAGAACAACGGTCAGGAAGTCGGAAATCTCCAATTCCAGGTGACGACTCTTCTGGCATTACACATTCTACACATTCAACAGCAAGAAGCAGCAAGCTTGAATCCAAGAGAGATCTAGATCAATGGACAAAACCTTGCTCAAGAAAGGTTCCAAGGGGAGGCCTTGATCCATGTTTATGCCACCAGAAAGGTAAACCGGACACAAGGCCGCAATCTCAACTAGGTCATACCTAGGACCTGGGGGTAAAGCCGGAGTTTCGTCTTGATCAGAATGATGATCCATCACGGCACACATCTCCTCGTAGGTCGGAGTTACTTCAGAGTCTTCAAACCGGAAAACCATAGTGCTAGGATTAAAATGAGTAACGAGCCAAACCATTAGTCAGGTTTTTAAGTCTTTGAAATATTTCAAGCCAAACGAGTTGGTTCATAGGAGGAACTCGCCATAGGTCGTTCAGGGATGGTTGACCGAAAGATGAGACTCGATTTCTGAAAGCCATGGAAGAAAAGTTGTTTCAAATGCTGTGGGATGAGGAGAGAATGAAGCAT